ATAAAATCAATATTTAAAACAAACTTACCATCGTTAACGTCGGCTCCCTTCTTTTAGCTGATTCTTTCGCCCTTTCTTTCTTGAAATTTACAAAATCTTGCAGAAATACGAGCAAAAATTAAATATATTTGCAAGAAATTTATCAATCATCAACTCATCAAATCAAGAAATGTTTGCTATTTCGCTGTCGTTATGCAGTCGTTATAATGCAAACATTAAATTGGACCAATCAGTGTCCGTTATTCATGACAATCCGCCATATTTTTGAGATCAGTGAGGATGACCACCCATCGTTGGTGACCGACGCCCGCGCTTATTGATGAACTTTAGACTTCGCCAATGCTTTCGTTTCCCCGGGTGTAAATAACCGGGGGGAATTAGTACCCTCGCAAGGCGCTTCGCGCCGCCGGCTCGGGGATTAAATTCAAAAGTGGACTTCATGTTGAAAATTATGTACGAGCAGAAAATATTTACAACAAATCGAATTAATTAAGAAAAAGTACTAAAATATAAAATAGTACATTACTATCTTCAATGTTATTAAGGCCAATGCTATAACGCCCGTGTTCTAAAAGCTCACTCACACTCAATGAGTGCAGATTCATTCAGAGCTTCTCTTGAATGTCAATGCTGTTTTTGAATAGCTGGAGGGTTAGTATCGTATAGCTTACTATGTGATTACTCACTTTCCAGCCATACAAAAACAGCTGCATTAACACTCAAGAAATGTTCGGATTGAACCTCCACTCATTGAGTGAGAGTGTGAGTGAGCTTTTAGAATACGGGCGTAAGATTTTTATTCACATGCATTAATTAGATAATAAGATATGGGATTTTGCTTTTATCTCAAAAGAAAAAACATGTTTTAGTATTTTAATTTCGTCATCAAGAACATCCATGTATAAATTCCTTTGTTAATTAAACACAGAATATATTTTCTGCAGTTTGTTCTTTTATAGCTCACGTGTAACTCGGTAGAATTTAACATGTTAGTTGTGTACATCATTATTTTTTTTAATTAATCATAAAAAAGTCAGGGAAATTTTGCCAATATTCGCCATAATACATTCGGCCAAACCTTCACTTCATAATATTCCGATGCTCATTAATTAATATTGGCTAGTAAGATTGACCAATGATAACGCTGTGCAGATATTTGACGTCTAAATCACTATAACCGAATTTTGACATGCATGGGTTAAAGATTCTGATACAGAGGCGTAGCTAGCCCGACGATTTCGTCCCGCTATACAAAATTCAACTCGTTATCATTATTTCTTTTTTTACAATTTGATTGTGTTGATATAAACATGGCAATATTTGAATACCGGTACTGACTCGTCGGGCTGGTTACGCCTCAGTTTGAATATGGCAATTGTAAATAGCATTTTAATGATTGCTCCAGACTCGAGGTCAATGAATTGCTGCATTACTGCAAACATAATAGATTAGGCTTTGCATCTAATTAGCGACCGAAATTTTCCAAACTCAACGGGATCCTGGAACAAATAAAGCAGAGCTCATAAAATTTAACTTTAAAACTTTAATGGTACTTTTCTTAGAAGCTATTTTAGTGACACTCCTATTCCAGGTTTACACCCCCCCCCCCCTCCCATCTCCCGCATATTAACGCCTAATGGTAATATTGGTGTATAAGTGCTTTCATCAGGGTGTTTTCATTAGGTTGTTTTTAATAGGACTGACGTGCAACTTGCTGACGGAAAACTTCATCACGTGTGTGTCACATGGAAGTCATCAAGCGGCCAATTTAAAGTGTACAAAGATGGTGCTTTGGTCAAAACAATTGATAACGTCAAGAGTGGCGAAAAATTTAACGCCGGTGGAACATGGGTGATTGGTCAAGACCAGGATTCTGTGGGAGGTGGTTTCCAAATTGTAGATTCCTACAAGGGTATCTTGACCGAAGTCAATATTTGGAGTAAAATTCTTGGTTCCGGTGAAATCCAACGTTTCGCAAACGACTGTGGTTTGCCGATGCAAGGAAACTACAAGGCTTACAGCAATTTTACAATCTCCAAAGCTACTGGATTGATTAAACCGTCATGCTGTTCCTAGACTGCACTTCCTGAAGAATAATATTTTTTCTGAAGCGTGATATTTGTGTGCATGATCTGCTTTCTTCATTATAAATAGTTGTTTTACTACGAAATCATGTCAATTTGAAACTTAATAAATTATTTGAAACTGATTTGCCTTAACTGCTTTTCTTTATTTTATTTTATTTATAATAAAATTATCCCGAAGACCATGTAGTTCAATTTACATTACGAAAATGTTCTATAAAATCCTATAAAATATGGTATAGAATATTCAAAATTGTATAGAATATTAATTCTATAGAAGTTGCGATTCTATAGAATATTCTATTGCCATATTCTGTATAACTTCCAGATCCTATAGAATATTCTATTGCAGATTCATATGAAACATCCCATAGCATATTTTACAGAATATTTTGTAATGAAATAGTATAGGAGTGTATATTATATAATGTGATATAGAGTATATCATAGAATGTGATAAACCTATTGACTTAAGCTCAGAGGTGTAGCCAGGATTTCTTGTCAGGCAAAAACCCAGGTGCATGGGGCCAAAAAATTTTCCGGACCATAACATTATAGATCCCCCCCCCCCCACGTCGACAACATTTTTTGTAAATTTTTTTCTGGACAATAACACTATAATTACTTTCGTAACACTTCTCCCGATTTCCGTATTTCAAAGTCGATGCTTCGCCACGAAGATTCCGACAACATTGACAATTTTCCGACGGGTCTCAACATGAACCTATATAATCAAGGATTCCCTTTTTCAAACAATGCATTTTATCAGATGGGGCAAAATCTTGCAAAGGGGGGGGGGGGGGCAGCTTTAGCTACGCCTCTGCTTAAGCCTAATTTATTAATTTTACTTTATAACGATATTATTGTGTCCCAAAAATTTACAGTACACAGCAAATAATATTATCATGAAGAAAGAATATAGTGATTTTAGAAAAATAATTCTTAAATCTGTTTCGTTTCAAGACAATTTGTTCTTGAAACACGAAATATTTTCTGACAATAACTTAATAATATAATTATTTTAGATTACATTTGTGTTAAAATAGTAGCGATTGATACACTGGATGGAAAGCGTAATTTAAAAACGAAAATTAAAGCCCGGCAAATAACTTTTAGACTAGACATAACGAAAATATAAAATTTATTGGCTAACGTTTCGTTGTATTGTACACAACATCTTCAGAGCAATTGAGCTTATTTAAAAGCGCGTGTATTAACCTATCATTAAAAATATTAGTAAATTAAAGATATAACGGTTAGTAATTAGAAACCTAGCAAAGCATTAGAATAGTTCAAGAGGCAGGGCTGTAAATACTCGTTACAACTGTAACGCGTTACTATGTACTGGTTACATTTGAAGTAGTTTTAACCTGTAACAAGACGCCTACTCGGCGTTAACCTCGGGTCGGTGGATAGGACATCATCGTCTGGTAAATATGCAAAAATTGTGTAAATCACGATAGTTTATAAATAGTTCACTAGTATAAATGGTGAATCAGTCAATCAAAGATCCGTTTTATCATTGATAATAGTTAAATACAGGAACAATTTAGAGAATTTACTGACGCAATTATTTAACTGTATTTATTTATTATTTGGGTTATTGTGTGGACGAGTGAATGATATACACAGCTATACTTCACTACTTCATCTTGCATTTAGTAACACTAACAGACGATATTATCAGTCTATTTGTTGATTGCACATAGCAGAACGACAGTCACTTCAGATATTTTTAAAATATATCAACGTACCGAAAATATAATTAGGTGCATGCAGCTGATCCATCATTAGTAATAGTTGTATCACAGTCGAAGAATGTAATGAGTGAACAGTTGGCAAAATTGTTGTATACCAGTTACAGTAAGAACCATCCATATAATGCTTATTATACTAGTATTGTACATTATATCAGCATATACTCGAGAATAGTTATCCAGCTAAACATGTATGTCAAAATTATCACATCTTCTGGTTTTAAATCAACAATTTTGTCGGATTTTGTGCAAGGACAGCTTTG